AATCTGGTCATACCACCAGAATGATCACAACCATGAAAAGCCTTAATGAAGCATGTGTAGCTGTAAGATATAGGTCGCGATGGTTTAGTAAGCAAGACCATATCAAGCCACCATCGGCTGGTCCCAATTACTGCATCCCTCTGAGCACCATAGTCCCTAAAACCCTTATCAAAGCAAAACAACACACCATGATCATGTATGCACCGGCCCAGCGTTTAATGTTCTGTGAATCTTTGAATTGCAAATCGTTTTATGCCTCGTGCAACTGGAGACTGACCCCAGGGCAAGTGTCATGGCCACACAGATGCAATCAAATCAGTTCTCAAAGTTTCAATCACATATGACGGATAAAATCGAAATATTGCACTTTGTTGTTGAATAGAAATCCCTTATGGTAGGCCAAGGCTCGGAGAACAGTACATCAGTGGATTAGCATCAACGAAGACATGACGTATTTTTAGGGGAATAGGAATCTGTCCCCCGTACACTAAGCCAATGTTTCAGTCACTTAGCCACCTACATGCATACACAGGCAAACATGATTTGGCTACGTAATATAAGAGGGACAGCGGTGGGCGGTGGGATAGCCTAGAGGTTAGAGCTTTCGCTCGTCACGCCGAAGACACGGGTTCGATTCCCTACATGGGTGTAACGTGTGAAGCCCTTTTCTGGCGTCCCCCGCCTTGATATTGCTGGAATATTGCTACAAGCGGTGTAAAACCCACTCACCCAATCACCCACGCACTCATATACCATCATAAACTAAGCTACGCATTTGCATGTATAATATGACAATATACTTTTATGATAAAAGTACGAAATACGTTCATGGTACAGACGGAAGTATGAAAAGGAAAATCTGTGACATCGTAATGCATATGCTCATCTCCCTGACTACACTTGTCTGTACCATTACTGGAGTACCGGAAGCCCTTCAAAAAATCACTCAACCAGCTTCTCTCGCCAGGGGGCGCTATTAACACTGACACACATCAATGTCACAGGATCATTCAGGAATTTTTCCTTTCTGCAACTACATATAATTATACGTTATCAGTACTGATGGACTTCACATGATATCGTGTCAGCACCTCTGTGTTTAATGAATAGGTGTCTCAACGTGGAGACAGCAACTTTCATAAAAAGTGTACCTGTGCAGGGCTACAGTTAGCAAAACTGGATATGGGACATAGCGAGCGAATCTCGTTTACATTTGATAGGATTTCATCAGGATAGTTATAAAAGTATAGTTTTCCAAGAGGAACCACATCGAACTTCTTTTATATTTAGACAACAGGTTTGTCTACATGAAACATAGGGCGTCACGTTTTCTTTACGTTATTGTTGCTTGGGCTAACCTGATGGTTAAAGCACGCTTGTCACGTCGAAGACCGGGCTGCGATTCCCCTCATGAGTATCACAATTTACGTCTTGTCTTCGTCCCATACCACGTCTATGACACGTACAATATGTGTCTTGTCTTCGTCACAATACCACGGCCAGGATACGTACAATATGTGTCTTGTCTTCGTCACAATACCACGGCCATGACAGGTACAATACGTGTCATGTCTTAGTCCCATACCACGGCCATGACACGTACAATATGTGTCTTGTCTTAGTCACATTCCACGTCCATGACACGTACAATAAGCGTCTTGTCTTAGTCCGATACTGCGGCCATGACACGTACAATATGCGTCTTGTCTTAGTCCCTTACCACGGCCATGACATGTACAATATGTGTCTCGTTTTTGTCCAAATACTACGACAACGACAACAACCACGACCACGACCACGACCACGACCACGACCACGACCACGACCACGTCTACGACATGTACACCGGAAGTTCTGTCCTAGGAAAATAGCCATGACCATGTAAAGTACGTTAGATGTCTTTCCATAGCCCCGTTATTACCACGACTGTGTGTTATTGTGCGCGTCCGTCCGTGTGTGCGTGTCTATGTGTGAGGCTTTCTGTGCCAGTCCGGACTAAAGCAGGTTATACAAAACTGGCCATGCGCTGTATGCCATGAACAACCCACTCGGTATGACCACTCCTTGTTTTATATATAACAGTAATACCAAGTACGAGGCAGGGTTACAACAAGTTTAACACCTTTCCACGGCCTTCTGCTCTACAGACAGAAGCTCCATCAAATAGTCCAAAACAGTCCTGTTGTCATTGTAACATAGGGCGTCACGTATTGTTTACTGATGTTATTGTTGAAGTGGGCTAGCCTGATGGTTAAAGCATTCGCTTGTCACGTCGAAGACCGGGGTTCGATTCTCCATATGAGTACAATTTGTGAAGCCCATTCCTGTTTTCCCTGCAGTAATATTACTGGAATATTGCTAAAAGCGGCGAAAAAATAAACGCACTCACTCACTATGGATGTTATTCTATGATATCCCTCTTGAGTTCTTGAAGATAAACGCCGATAAAATCTATGTTTGCAATAATGAATAATATCTTTTCAGACACGCTTTCTTCGGTTCAAAGTAAACTTCCTGGAATGTAAATAACATTCGCCAATATTTTCACTCCAAACGTTTATCGCACAAGTAGGGGGCGTACAAATGTTCTACACGGTACTTGTGTATGATTGAAGCTTCATACAGAATGAGGACGTCTCAACATTAAGGTATGAACTGTTAAGTTCTCTCATCTCTCACAAACCGAATGTTGATCTATAATTTCAAAGAGAACAGAAAGTGTCAAAGCATTCATGTTGTCCCAAGCAGATCTGTAAACATACGCTAATCATGGGGCTTCCCCGTCATGCCGTGGACAAAGACATTCATCTTACGGAATTTAAACATTCTTGTTTTTCAAATCAATGATAAATGATCAAGTCGAATTCGGATTTGGAAACAACGGGTTTACTTGTTGTTGGTTTTCCTTTCTTTGTTTTGATGGTGAGTTAAAATCAATTGAATACATTATTGTCGAATTCGGAACTATTTTGAACTGTTTGCTTTGCATGAAAGTTTACGATAAGCAAGATCGATATAATCAAAGTCCGGACATGGCTGAGGCCACTCCATATTTAGCATTTGTGTGAATCAATGTTTTAACTCACTTGAACCTTCATAAAAGAGACGAGATGCGGTTAGGGGTGGGGCTGTGTGGTTTGTGGTGTGTAAGAGGTGCAGCCTTTCACCCATTGGCATTGCGGAAACGTATTCCGGTTCGCCCCAAAAATGTTTCTAGCTTTGTCTTCACCATTTTCATGATCTTGGGTTTCATCAAACCGTCTGCGAACTGCATCACTTGAATATTGTTCCGGAATAGAACTGGAATACTGTCCCGGATAGAACTGGAATACTGTCCCGGGTAGAACTGGAATACTGTCCCGGATAGAACTGGAATACTGTCCCGGGTAGAACTGGAATACTGTCCCGGATAGAACTGGAATACTGTCCCGGATAGAACTGGAATACTGTCCCGGATAGAACTGGAATACTGTCCCGGATAGAACTGGAATACTGTCCCGAATAGAACTGGAATACTGTCCCGGGTAGAACTGGAATACTGTCCCGGGTAGAACTTGAATACTGTCCCGGGTAGAACTGGAATACTGTCCCGGATAGAACTGGAATACTGTCCCGGATAGAACTGGAATACTGTCCCGGGTAGAACTGGAATACTGTCCCGGATAGAACTGGAATACTGTCCCGGATAGAACTGGAATACTGTCCCGGGTAGAACTGGAATACTGTCCCGGATAGAACTGGAATACTGTCCCGGATAGAACTGGAATACTGTCCCGGGTAGAACTGGAATACTGTCCCGGGTAGAACTGGAATACTGTCCCGGATAGAACTGGAATACTGTTCAAAGTGGTGTTAAACCCAGCTCATTCACTGGCCCTCGGTAGCCTAGTGGTTAAACGTCACGCGGAAGACCCGGGTTCCATTCCCCACATGGGTATAATGTGCAAAGCCCATTCCTGGTTGTCCCCCGCTGTATATTGCTGGGATATTGCAAAAAGCGGCGTAGTCACTAACTCGCTCGCTCTCCTACCTCTTTAATGTTTCTTTAACACGAGGCAGTGGTAACGTCAGAGGACCTATGTGTAAACAGAACTCCAGTGAATAGCTGTCGGTGAGATCGTGATATCAAATGTGTTATATTGCGTTTAATAAATGCTCGACTGAATCAGTTAAATGTCAGCATTCATTCAGAACATTTAACGTCACCCTGGGTTCTGGTTTGGTTACAAGATCGCCTTCATCTCTCCCGACCTGCCATGCATGTTCGTACAGCCTGCATGTGGCCACGTTTACACTGATCACACACGGTTAATGGATGCCATTCAAGTCTCTATATATATCTCCATTACGAGCTGTATATAAATACAGGCATAGATTATAAATTATTTCCACCTGAGGAAAGAAACATAAAAACTCCAGTGAGACGACCTTGACCTCTGTTTTGTTTCGGATTACAATGGATAGGGATTTTTTACTTCATCATGATTAATTTACATGCCCACAATGAGGAATATTCCATGCATTAACATTTGAAAGAATTACTATGTTTATCTAACATGGCCAGAAGTATCACTCACTATGTTTCTCTGATCTAGAAAGTATAATGAATTGTTGTGCGGCACAGCTGTGTGGAGTTACCCTACTTCCTGATCCCCAGTGATCCATGACTGTGATCTGTGAGTGCGACACCAATAGTTAATGATCATATATCCTGTTTACTGGACCGAGCGTCCCCGAGGTCCCTGTCCAATTCCAGGGCTGCTAAATCAAACTGCTACGACGTCTTGAACAGGAGAAGACAGCTACGGGCCAGATAGGGAGCACTCTGTCCCCGCGGACGTTAATGACGGACGCCCCTCTGATGGATAGTTTAACAAGAGTGGATTTGGTTCGTTGTTACATCTAGTGATTTTCATGGTATTGCATATATTTTTACTTTTGCTATTTCAGTTCGAAATTGATTGGATTTACGGATTTGACTTTCACCATTTTTCTTTCAGTCTCCGCTCAGATGGGGGTTGACATATACGTGTACCATCCTTGAAAGTCTCGGCCGTAACACCATTTCACAATGACCTCGTCGGACATGCGCATCGAAGGTGTTGGAGGCCAGGCAGGGGACATAACCCGTGTTATCAGCATTGTGGACAACACAAACTGCTGTCTCAACATGACAACGTCATCTCCTCTGTACAATATCATAGATGGAAACAAAAGTGTGTTTAACAACTTAACATCATCAGCATCCGATTTGGGATCCATGAAGATGGAAATGCCTCTGTATCTCATCCTGTACTTCACGATCATCAACAGCGTTGTGTTCCTCACTGGAATTATAGGGAACACTCTGGTAATACAGGTGATTGTGAGGCTCAAGTCCATGAGGACCCGGATGAACTACTTCCTCATGAGTCTGAGCGTGGCGGATCTACTCGTCCTCCTCGTGTGTCAACCGTCCGCCATGTTGGAGTTCTACGGCAAGGACCGATGGCTTCTGGGAGAAGTTATGTGTAAGTTACATTTACTTCTTCCCTGTTCCAATTTGGTAGTGTCGAGTGCATGTTGTTTCACGTTACAACCAACATTGTTCTCGTCGCCCTCCGTCCTGCCATTTGCGATTGGTGCGTGCGTGCGTGTAACAGTGTGTTTGTGTTTGTATGCGTGTTTGTGTGCGCAAGTGTGCGTGTGTGTGTGCGTGTGCTCGCGTGTGTGGGTGCGTGTGTATGTTTGAGCATCTGTGTGCCTGTGTTTGGGGAGTGAGAGTGGGGAAAGGGGATGCATTGTCCCTGGCTAATTGAAACGTGTTACCTCAGGCTCTGCAATAATACCTAGTGTCCTTAAAGGATGTGTTTGAGTAAAATAATCGAGACTAACATCCTTAAAGGTTTAATCAAATAAAGCGAGAATTCCTTAACGCAGTCATAAGAAATATCTGTCGGAAGGCAGAGTCGATTGCAAGATCCCAGCAATGCCATATAGATGGCTACAGGACAGGTCAAGCAATGGCCCCTGCCGTCACAACACCAATTGTTATTGTCCCTATTGCGTAGATCAACGCTCACGCTGTAGATCACTGGATTGTCTGGTTCAGACTCGATTATATACAGACCGCCGCCATATACCTGGAATATTGCTGAGTGCAGCGTAAAGCTAAACTCACTCACTCACCCAATTATTGTTGACACTCCATCAGCTCACATAGCGTAGCAACTCGATCCCAAACACAGTCGGGTCATCAAGAATGCCGTAATGTCATGTTGTCCACAATCCACAATGTTTTCAGTATAAATATACCAATGTCTCCAAAACAATACCTCCCTGAAATGGATAGTAGTGTCTGGTGGTAACGCAGTAGAGGGGGGTGAATCACCATCACTTGTTATTGAAACATCGGCGAGGTCAGTCGATTAATTTCCAGGCTAATGGGTTTCCATAGGCAAACTAATGGTGTTTTTAAATGACAGCGCAACAATAACTCGTAGCCAGGTATAGCCTCAATATGTCAATCATGCTTCAATACACTTGTTGGAAGTGATCAATATGGACCTTCCAACATACCTTTAGGTCCGCCTGAATTGAAGAGTTGATAACACAGTGGGGTGTATTTATATAATGAAATAAGAATCCAGTTTGGGAATATCCAATGTCACTTTATGAAACAAAAAGCGGTTGGAAGATCTAATTTCACTTTGCTTTCCCACCAACCAAAAAGAGTTCATAACACAGTGGGGTGTATTTATATAATGAAATAAGAATCCAGTTTGGGAATATCCAATGTCACTTTATAAAACAAACAGTGGGGTGTATTGGAAGAACCAATTTTAATGAATCAAAAGGGGTTGGAAGATCTAATTGCTTTCCCAAAAAGAGTTCATAACACAGTGGGGTGTATTTATATAATGAAATAAGAATCCAGTTTGGGAATATCAATTCACTTTACAAAAGGGGTATCGCTTTCCCACCAACCGAAAAGTTAATTTGACTATCGGAGTACATGGAAACAACAGTATTATGAGTGAGTGAGGTTGTTTAACCGTGTCTTTGAACAGTATTCCGGTTATGTCATGGCGAGGCAGCTTCAGGAAGGAAAAGGGGCGGTGGGGTAGCCTAGTGGTTAAAGTGTCCGCTCGTCAGACTGAAGACCCGGGTTCGAATCCCCACATGGGTACAATGTGTGATGCCCTTTTCTGGTGTCCCCCGCCGTGATATTTCTAAAAGCGGCATAAAACCATACTCACTCACTCACTCAGGGTGGAAAACGTGCTGACAAGAAGAGAGAAAGGTAGTGTAAACGCCTTAGAAATAGTCAGCCTCGAGTATCTGCGGAAATAGATTCCTTTGGTCGTTAGAGAAAATATAGTGCATTAAATTACATGGAAGTCACTGAATATGATTGGTGACGCCAGGTGCTGGAGAAAATAGTAAGCATGCCCTGCCTATCGGTCGCACATACGGTTGAGTGGGGAAATAATTGTTTGTTTAACATACGTTCTGTACGTTGTCATATTCTATTACTATTTTCCATTTCCGTGGAAGCCGCGATGGCTGAGTGGGTTAGATCTCTGACTTCGTGTGCTGTCGATTAGGGGCCGCATCCTCAGAGTGTGGGTTCGAATACCGAATTGGATTCAACCACTGCAATACAAACATTTCAGAAAATACTTGTATCTGTACTTTAGTGAAAGTGTAATTCCAAATATATGACATGTTACATTTGACCACTTTCGAAATGTGTATTTATAATTGTTGGGGTTTTGTTGCCTAACGAACGACTGGTCCTAAGATACGATTGCAACAAAGTGTGAAACGGGATCGAAAATCACATGCCAGCCAGGGTTCGAAATAAATCATTTTTTAACATTAAAAACTCCAAAATGCGTAGATGACAGGAAACATGTTTTAACTGTGTGTGGTACATCGAAACAAATGTTACGTATTTGACAGCGTTCGATCCCCTCCTCCTCCCCCCGGACGGTCCCAATACCGACTTTAAACCAAATCATTCCGGATCAGGCGCTTTATGATTCGTCATTATCTTGTTTATATTTCAAAAGAAATGCGTGGTTATATTTTTATTGACAACAGATGTTATTCAATATAATTGTTAAATTCAGAATTGCTGACGTCTTTCTGGCAACACAAGACTGTAAAACAATATTTGACATTTAATTTTATGGATTTGCTAATGAAATGTCAAAAAGTGATCCAAACCTTCGGTTTGGGGAATCAAAATCGACAATTTGGGCTTAATGTTTGACGTACAACTTCCCTATTAATGCTATTTTCAATTTTTCGAGTGTCATCCAGGGTTTTAGTGAGACAATAACATCAAATAGAGTTATAATGATGATAATGCTGACATATGTGGACATGTTATACTCCTGAACTATAAACAAGGCACATGTGTACAATTCATACGAAAGAAACAGTGAATGCTGATTCTCCATTTTCATATACCCCTAGGTGAAATGGTTGCAAACAGAGTAAAGTTTTATTGATTGAATGTTTGATTGAAACATATTTTATTCAATTGAGAAACGGATTGGGCACAAGTTATCCAACTTAAATAAGCCCTCTCCACAAATAGTGATCTTTATAGGGATGTTCTTAAGGAGATGCATGTGTTCGAAGTGTGCTCTCATGAAACCATGGTTCATTTCATCACGATAGCTCCGGACTTGATGCGACTTACACGGGATATAACCCTTACATCAGACTAGCAGGCCATAAAGGCTCCGTTTTATTGTCTAACGAAGACCAAATTGACATCACTAAAGTAGGCGATCAAATATATGCGTTTCCAATCACACATCGGCAACAGTTAAGCCATCAACATCTATCCTTTGGCTATTGGAGACCTTTCTGGATGTCGGTTTATTCAATTGTTCTCATAGTGGCACCGTTTGACAATTGAGGTTACGAAAATGGACAGAGTGTGATGGAATTTCTGTCAGGTCCCCTTATTGAAAGAATCACGATCTGGAGGAGGGGGCAGACGCTCAATAAAGGTCGTTGTCCAATATAAAGTTATTAACCTCGCTAGTGCGAGCCTTTGTATAAGCTAATTAACTCGGAGTCGAGTGACCGGTCACAGTCAGTGTGGAATAGGCTTGCATGGGACAATATTCAGCACAGATTGCACCAGACAGTAAATAAACCTCGAGAACATCCGGTTATTATGTGTAATAATTGGGGCATATTGCGTTTGGTAAAAGCGTTTGTGTATATAGGGTGATGCATGGCCTTATGTGTTAACACAGTGACCGTGTATTCTATAGATAAACTTTCATCGGTCTTTACAGTTACCCTTGGCAAAGTTTACATAGTATCCTTGGGGACATTGTCTCATTGTCGAAAGAAATAGAAAAAAACCCAAAGGGCATCAACGAGTTTGGATATTTTGTAGACAGAAACGATTAGCACGTACATTAAGCCTTTCAGAAGGCGAGCAAGTCAATCAGGGTTAAACGCCACTTGGAAAGCTTTTAGATATAAAGCCCGACGCTTCGGCCTAATGTTGGAGGAAGCCAAATTATGTTGACCACTTTCGTCTGAGAACCAAGAAAAAATATGGTGACAGTGCAAGGTTCATTATGAGAGTGAATCCAGGATAGAGAACGTGGTGAGCAGACCCGGCATCGGTAAGGGACATACTTCTGCACAAGTGTGCATTCAAACAGCAACCTTTATATAACCGAGGGCAGACTCCATACATAGATACATCGGAATATGGTCCCAACAAAGCCGTTCTGACACGGGTGTATTGTAAAGCAACAACTTTTCTCACCAAACTTCAAGCCTACACCCAGAAGATCAGTACTTCAGGAGATGTCTAACTACCTTAAAGAGCTCATCAGTGTCACCAGGCCATCGAGACCTCTACGCTCCTCTGATCAGTTCCTCTTGTCCCAAGCAGTATCCACAAGCAAAATGGGTGGCAGAGCCTTCTCCACTGTTGCACCTCAATTATGGAACTCAAAGCCACCATCTGTGAATCCACGTTTAAAAGCCTATTGAATACTTTTTTCTTGAGAACTGCTTACAATATTTGACATTTTCCCCTCTCACTCTACTGACTCATACATATGCGCCAGCGAGCAACTAGACAGATGGATACCAGGCGCTATACAAGTGAATTATTATTATATTATTATGTGTAGATCGGAACATCGCTTCTTAATAGTTTTACAAACATATTAATCACTATTATATTAACTATAGAAAGGTTTTGTCTGGCAAATAATTATGCATTCAGAGTACAGATGCCGTTAAATTGAAAGCTTTCATAATGTGCATGATGACGCAATTGCCATGATATAGGCTGGAAGCGATGTTATGAAGACTCAACCTTTGTATGACCAGAAATTATTGAGAATTTTAGGAATATGTTTAATTGGATTTCTAGTATAAACAGCCTTGACCAGCTAGCAAGTGCTTGGTTTCATTCAAGAGAGACAACTCCGTTAATCCTTTTTCATTAGTTTGTGAAGAGTTATCCCCCCTTTGTTTA